CCCTCTATAAGCTAAGCATATGCTTTGCATGTACATTAATTATTCTAAAGCTTGTTGTGATGATTTATAATAGATACATTCATACACATTGGGATATGAAAAGGAAGGTAGTCATGATGGTAGATGTATTGCCCATTGCAATACATATGTTTAATTTTTCCTTAAAAGTTGCACAGATCATGATTCTATAAACTTTGATTCTTACTACTTTGTTTTCCTTTTTTTTTGAGTAGAATATCAGAATCACTTAAGACTATTAAATGGTTTTAAAAACACTTGTTTTCTGCATATAAGCTTTGGTGAAGCTAAGATTTTAATTCTTCCTCTAACTGAAGTGATGCAAAATGTTTTGTTGGAGTATAATTTTCATTGTAGATATAGAAGGAGATTTTAACACTAAATAATATTATTCCACTTTATTTGATCTTCACTTTTTGTTCTTTTTTGTTCCCTAATTTTATTATGAAGCCCTTGAAAACTGCTCAAATGAATTAATTTATAAGTGCATTATCCCAACTTTTTAATTATCTGTAAAGTGGTCTAAATATCCATCAAATTTTCCCTCAGAAATGCTCATTCTGCTTGTCTGTGGCAGCTGCTTCTTTTTTTTTCAAAACTTAAAAAAAAAAATCCACTGACAAAGAAACATGACCTTGATGCAGTTCTTCCATGATACTCCTTGGACCATGTGGGGTTTTTTTCAGATCTACTGTTACTAATTATAGGTAAAATAAAGGAATAAATAGTATGTGGGAGTGTTGTGAGAAGATTGATCCATTTGTAAAAATATGCTTAGAGATCCTTGCTCTCCATTTATAATCAAGACACTGTTTTATTTTATGGTTCATCTTGTAGGATAAATGTTCCACCTTGCTAGAAAGTCTCCAGTCACAAAATTTTAGGTTCTGAAGAACTGGCCTGACTTCTAGAAATCACTAAGAAGTGAAAAAAAGTGATGGTAATTGCTGGGACAGTTCATCCCTCCATCTTAAACACTTACCAAAGTGCTTGCCTGTTTTCATTTACAGGTTTTGTTTTCTTGTTTTTCTCTGTTCCAGAGATAGACTGCGGCAAACCTATGCTGATTCCACACACAGAAATGACCTGGGACAGCTCTACTGTATGGAGCAGGGTGTACTATCGGTGTAAAGAAGGATATTATTTTAATGGAGACAGGAATTTTTCAGAATGCACAATGGATCAGTCATGGGAGAATATTACCTACATATGCAAAGGTAAGTATTACTGTAGGAAATTGCTGTGCAATTTAAATAGTTCATCATTCCTATTTGGAAGGTAGGTACTGGAGGAAGGATGAAGGCAATAAATCCCCTTCCAGTTCACGATGTAGGGAACGTGGTGGTACTTTTGACAGTGTTAACCATACAGCAGTTCCTAGCAGATGCCACAGATCTTTCTCTAGCTGTCTTGCTTTTCATCTTAAACAGAAGGGGACTAATGCAACTGAAGTTTCATTGCTGCACTGAAAACCTTCAGCTTTAAAAGCCAGTGGAGCATCACCAGTTGAGCAGAAGGCTTTAAAGTGCACTGCAGTGAAAGTAGTGGCGATGAAATTCAAGACCCTTTTTCTTTTTTTTTTCTTTGCTCATAATGACCAAAGTAAAATTTGTTCACGATTGCCTTTCCAGCCTTGATCTAGTTGTCTGAATGTCAGTCCAAAATGATTTTCTTATTAAAGAATGAGTCCTGAGAGGGGAGATCTGTAATGAAAATGTTGTCATACTGTGGGCTTGGAACCAAGATGTACTGACATATTAATAATAGCAAAAAATAGCAGATGTTTTGGACTATGACTGTTGTGCTCCTCAGTGTTCTTCTGTGTCCTAGGAAAGGTGTCACATGACAGCACTATGATTGTCAATCTCCTGTTCCTAAATACCAGTGCTGTCTTTTGCAGAAGACAGTGTTCATTTAGCTTTGTTTTCAAAAGGACTGGAAGTGTCTTTGACTGCTGTCACTTCACTTTACACAGACATATTGCTTGATGCCCTCCTGCCTCACTTCACGTCCTGAGCATCCACTATGAATATCAAACTTGTGACATGGGCCAAAAGTCACAGTTATGATCAAGTATAATGGGAAAAACAACTTACAAAAAATAGCTAACTAGTCTAGCCTCATTTAAAAAAAAATCGGTCATGAACAGGAAATTAGTACAAAGGTCTTCATCATCTTCACTTCTGCATTTTTCATATTTGCTGGAGGTAACAAATTACTTCAGAATGAAATTAAATGAAATTTCTGTTTCAGTAATGTTGCCTTTCAGATGTACATTGCACACAGGATGTGTGTAATTAATCAGTAATTCCCATTAAAGTGGAAGAAATTTATGTACCATTCCAAAATAACTTATGATAGAAGTTGGAAAACCATTTGGCTTTTACTACTGCCTGAAAAGTTTCATTGGAAGTAAAGAAGTTAAGACAACATCCTCAGGAGATTCTCTCTGATGATTAATCCCTTCCTCATTTCTTAGGAAGTGATTGCTTTGGAATTCCCTTTATTTGCGTTGTCTGTTGGGATATATAGTGAGTATGTGTCTGTGTACAATTGCATTTATTAGTATCTAGATTAAATATTTAAAAATTCTTAACAAGGTTAGTCTTACTGAGTGATGATGATTGGACTAAGCTGTCAGCAGTACAGTGCAGCAATAGTCAGCTGGATGGCAGTCTTTCTTTACCAAGCCTTGATTTTTATACATAAAATCAGGAGAACATACCAGCAATTAAATACCTGCTGTCCAGTATGCTTAGTATGTGAGCCTGGACATCCTGTATAGCTTCTCCTTGAAGAACTTCTTCCCCTGTGGAGTTGGAGTGATTGGTTTCACAGAATCACAGACTTATTAGGGTTGGAAAGGACCTCTGGAGATCATCTAGTCCAACACCCCTACCTAGGCAGGGTCACCTAGAGCAGGTTACACAGGAATGCATCCAGATGGGTCTTGCATATCTTCACAGAAGGAGACTCCAGGACCTCCCTGGGCAGCCTGTTCCAGTGCTTTGCCACCCTCAATGTGAAGAATTTCTTCCTCATGTTGAGGTGGAACTTCTTGGGTTTTAGCTTATGGCCATTGATGCTTGTTCTGTCATTGTGCACTTCTGCAAAGAGTCTGGCACCATCATCATGACACCTGCCTTTAAGATACTTATTTTCATTTATTTCATTCCAAAAACAGTGTGCTGTTATTCCAGGCACACAGTGTTTTGAGCTCCAGTGGGATTTTGTAGTAAATCTGGGCAGTCTTTTTCAGAGTGAAAATGAGACTCCCTTGTGGGAATGATATTTCAGTCACTTTCAGGGAAGGCCTTGGCAATAAAGCACTACAGCATGCAGTGGTGGAATACAAGGTAGTCAGAAACAAGGAGCTTGCTCTTCTCATTGTGAATTTCAGAGGAGAAATTGTCAACTTGAGGGGTTTTGGTAATAATATTTATCTTGCCAAGAGAGGTTGTTTTGGGTGTGTGCTCAGAATAGGACATAAGGTAGTATAAGACTTACAGTTGCTTTTTTTTATGAAAGAGAAAAATATAAAATGAGGCCTTCCCACTAGTTTTTAAGTGGATTTCACAGATTTTTTATTTACATTTATTGTGGCTTTAGAAGGCCAGAAAAAAAGGTGATATGTGCCTTGGCTGTCTATTTGAGTTGCTTGTACCCGAATCTGTACTTGCAAATGGCACAGTATGCCGTGTATATCAAAAGCCCTTAAAAAGTCCCTGAAGTGTATCATTTTGAGAAGGGCAGAGAGAGGAACTGGAGGATGTCTGAAATGGAAATATGTAAGTGATTTGCTTTGGTCTTTCATTGAACTTGGATACAAATATTTGGCAGTAAAAGGTCAGGAAGATCTCACAGATGCTGAAGTAAAATATTTTCATTTTGTCATATATGTAGATTGTATATGTGTATGCATGTACACACACAGAGAATGTAACTTTTGAAACTGATTTCTTGAGTGTCCAGGGAAAGTTGAGTTGTGGTGAATAGGGTGCTTATGGAGTTGCTTTGCTCTTAATACCATGTGCAGCTCCGAAACTGGTGCTTTTTCCAGTCTTCACAGTTACACAGGGGTCAGTTCATGCACAGAGGGAGCAGTGTCTGATGCATTTCATATATTTTCTGTGTTAATTGAACTACTGGTAGTCATATTTTGATGGAAAATCATCCGTTACTGCAGCTCTCTTCATCCTGTGGGCAGAGTCCTGCGTTTTACTATTCATCAGGCTTTTTCCAATTTTCAAGTCCCAAGTTCTAGAGATATCCTTGTCATGGAGAGCTTTTTCACAGTGTCTGATCTATCTTTCGTGCAACAGTAGGCTCTAGTCCCAGCTATAAGCCCACATGCAGGGTTGGCTCCTGCTCATTATTCTGATCATAGAAAACTCCTTCTTTACATATGGCTTCTTCAGAGTTACTTAGTAGTCAGTGTGTTTAGCATCTCTTGTTGTGAGTAACAACAATATGGTGTCTAACAAAGACAAACAGTTTCCTTATTTATATCCAAAGAAAACACAAGTCTGCATTAAAGCACATTTTCTTGGTACTTAAATAAAATCTTTAGGACCACTATTCACTGTACTATTAGAAATGGATTTATAAAAGTGTTTTTCATGTATTAAGTGAAATACTGTCCTTGCAAAAGAATCAGCTGCTACACATGGGTAGGAAAAGTCCACAGATACGTAAAAAGCATGAGTGGGAGAATGAAACCGAACTGCACGGAAAGGTAATGTGCATTACAGGTAAAGCATTCCAAAACTCAAGCAGTGGGAAGTAGCTGTTGTAGGCCAAAGGGAAAATTGACCTCTGTGCCCCTTTAATGCTGAGTCTGACAGTGCAGCAATCTTACCTGTGAGAGCCTTGTGAGTTTGTGAGAGCTTTCCAAAGCAGTGTTAGGCCGTAAGAGTTGTCAGCAGATATTAAGCTTTGTATGCATGGTGTAGAGGGGAGTAGATGATTCAGTCTCAACATACTATGAACCTGGAACTCAAATAGGGGAAAAATGTTTTTCATGTATTGAGTGAGATACTGTCCTTGCAAATGAATCAGCTGCTACGCATGGGTAGGAAAACAGAGTTAAACTGCGTGTCTTGAACTCTGGAGATTATGTTGAGATAATCATGTGGAATTGGCTGTTATGGTTGTGAGGAGTATCTTCAAAGCATGAAGTGAGTAAGGTGTTAGTTGTTTTTGAGTCATTTCCCAGAAAATGAATGTTGTATGGCAGCACTGAAAATCCTAATGGAAAAAAAGAGGGTGGACGGCACTTGCTTGTAAATACAAGCTTCAGAGATGTAAAGGTTTGGAAGGAAGAGCAGTGTGATCAATCAGTTCTGAGAAGGCATAGCAGGTTGTCCACACTGTGCACTTTAAAACGTTGTAGAAGAGGAAAGAAGCACTTTCATAGTGTGAAAAGAAAACTTGGAAAAAAATCAAAATAAAATTCTGTTTGTAATCAACAGAATCATCCTTCAGGTGTAATTTGTGTGCTGAGAGATCTAGTTACTCTCTTACTAACCTAGTGTTGTTTTCCCTTTGCTTTTACTTTCCCTTCTTCTATACTTTATCCCTATTACAAATGACTGTTTTCCTCTCTAGCTAGAATTTTCTGGGATGTCAGTTTTTACAATCTCTCTTCTACAATAAGAGACGATACAGAAAGGCAACTGGAATGTTTCTGTAGTGACAGCATCAATAACTTCCATACAGTATTGAATGGGCTAACTGTCACTGCCCTAGTTTTTATTCCCTGCTGTGTGTGAAAAATGCATGTCAGCAGTTATGTGCCTAGTAGAAAAGGTGTCTCATCTATGGGCATTGATCCAAAACCCATGGATCTGAAGAAATAAGAACACAGTCAAACCATTAGGATAGCGCAAAGGATCTGATTGTCCCAAGTTCTTGTTAAGACCTGGTGTGAGATAGTAAATCTAGCCATCTGGTAATCTGATAATTTCTTTAATTTCCTGGAAAAACACAGGTGGAGTCTGTGTTATGGGAGGTGCTACTTCTTAGATGAAAGTGATGCAACCCAGTGACAGTTAAAGTAAACAAAAGTAAATTACCCAGGTTATGATGGCAAATGCCAACCTTAGAAACCTCTTTCAGCTGGGGGGTACATCATGTGCATTTCCAATCATAGCCCATCTATTTACATCTAGTCTGACACTCTGCATTGATACATCTTTCTGTTTTAAGTATGCTCACAATTGCATCTGTTTTGTCAGTCTGGTTCAACACATGAATTACTCTGCTCCTCATTGTCACTGGGTAACATTTTTAGAGGAAGAAGTAAATCATTAGCTGTCTTCTCCTTTCTGATTGACCATCTCTGCCTACAGCTTTGCTATTTCTATTTAGGTTTCCTCTGTAAAGTTTAGGGATGAAGGTGAAAACCTGCTGAAATTCAGCAGTCCTATTTAGACTGGAAACAAGTATGTTACTCAAAATGTGAAAAACTGTAAGAACTTATCTAAAAGTTGTAAATAACGAAGACGCATGCATCTTCGTAAAGTAAGTTGCATATGTACTATTGTGCAAGATGAGTTTGCCTTTATGCATTGAAGCAGTCTGAGCAGAAATTGTCTTTGAGATGTTGTTTGCTGTCATTTAATTTCTGTGTCTGAATGACTACGTGGTCCATATTAGTAGCAGATGACATTTGCAGCTCCATTCACCACTTTCACAGGATTGAGCAGAAAAAATATACCAAAAAAGTTAGTACCTGGATTTTTTCTTTCCCCGAAATTGCATGTATGTGTGGGGATTAGTAGGGAGCTCTGTAAGTGATGGTGTGAATGCTCTTTCAGCTACTTGCTGAAGATAAATGTCAGAATCGAGCTGGTTCTGTCTGCTTTCTGGTAAATGCTGTTTGTTCATACAAGTTCAAAAATACTTCACTGATTAGGTGTGTCTTGAGCTGAAGTCAGTGGTAGTCAAGTGTTTTTTCATCAGAGGACTAGTGGATTGTACAGGTGAAAGCTGTCATGTGTTTTTAGTGACTGTTTAGACAAAGGTGTGTGTGACTTTTTTTTTGTAAATCAGCAAATAATAACACTGAGTACTTGGACCTGAACTCGCAGAGAATGAAAAGCAAAGGATTAAGGTTGGTCTTGACAGCACAGTGTTATAGCAGAAGAGCATGACAAGACAGGTATTTATGCACTTGCTGTAATTGCTATGAAGTTTTTCCCAGATACTCAAGCACAGAGAGGGGTTCTCCTTCCTAGCAGAGCTTTAAAAGTGGAGTAAACAAGACTGAGAGCTTCACTCCTTGTTTTCCTTCTTGGAATTGATATTTTTGGTTTTCTTAACATAATTTCTCCCCCTCTGATACTCATTGGTGCTGTGGAATCACTTTGCTCATTTTTTCATTCTCCCATTTATGTTCTGTTTGTTAGCACCTGTCTTTCCTGGCTGCCAACAGTCAGGTGTTATTTACATCTTTCTATCCTCTCCCAAATTTGCCTTCAAGTATTTGAATCCTCCAGGAGCTTTTTCCACCCTTCTGTTCTGGTCTCCAGGTATTTGCATGTTGCTTGTAGGACACTTTCCCTTGCAACGGGAAGGAGATTGTGAAGGTAACCTGAAGGTCAGTGAAGCAGCAGTAACATCCGCTGGCCTTTGTTAACCACAGGATGAAATTTATAGCCTATTGAGATTAATGTTAAACCAGGGGCTTTCTGTATATTTGGTTATCCAAACAAAAGCATGTGACCAGTCGGAGAAAAGGAGAAGCAGCCTTCTCAGAAATCCCAGGACTTTTCTGTGGTAATTGCTCTGTACAGCTTTGCATGCTCTTTCACTCCCACCCATTTAAAGTGGAAACTTTTGAGAAAAGATCTGCCAGCTATTCCATCAGTCTGTGCTAATTGCCTGGTGGCCTTCTTGGAAGTCTAGAAAGCAAGACAAAATTGATACAGTTATAGAAAAAAATGCTACTAGTTCTGCCTTCTTCCTTCCAAGGACGATGCTGTGTAAGATTTCTTTCCTTGCCTGAATATCCAGCAGGATCATTTTTTTTGTTATTTGCTGATTTATTTTGCTTTATTTTGTAGGAGTTTTTTTAGTGGGCGTTTTATAAACTCATAAGTAAAGTGCCTGATTTTCTTGCTGAGCAGCCTTGGAGATTACCCCTTTCCCTGTTCTCTTCACCACCACCACCTTCCGTCCTCCCCCTTTTCCTCCGTCTCCCCCATTATGCACTTTAAGTCAGATCTCATGGATATAGGAACATTTTCCCTCTGTTAGTAATTTTTGCCATCCAGTCTATTAATAATATGTGGCAGATTTAAAGAATACACCAACTGAACATAATATTTTGCTCTGTGTTGGTTGAGAAGTCTTATACTGCAGAGGTTTTGGTCAGTACTGTGAAACAACAATAATGAGCAGCACTGAGATACAATTAATCACACAGCCATTTGCAAGGCAATTTGTTTTAGAGGACATGCAGATTAATCTCTTTTTCTGCTGTTTTGTAGGTATGGAAACTTTCAACAGTATTTCCATGTGTAACAATTGTGGCATGGAGGGGTTAAAATGAGTTGGGAAATAAACTGGTCTAGTGAGTGAGGCATCTATTTGCTGAATATATGAAGAGGGTGATATTGTTGAACAGTTTTATGGCAGTTTTAATGATCAAGAAAAGGAAATAAAAAATTACAGTCCTGCAAAATACATAAACAGTTACACTTTAGTTCTAAATAACTGCCTACATTTAGGAATGTTAGAAACTATTGATGCATTCATTTATTTTAGTGGCAGCTTGATGTACCTCTGCTGCAAGGGAGACCCTGTGAGATGGTAATGAAGTTTACATACAGAGAAAGAGTTCCTCAGTCTTGCTTTTACAGCAGAACATTGCACCAACTATCTTGTGAATATTTCTGAAGTATCTACCAATGCCATCCTATAAATCCCCTTCATTTTTTTCAGCAGGTAGTAAGGTCTTTTCAGCTTAGAATCTATATGAGGTTGGATTTATATGACCTTGGTCATGTAGTGAATGTAATAAATATATGGTAGTAGGACAAAGAAATGACTATTTGAACGCTGATGAAGGAAAGAAGAGGAGCAAATACATTCACTGTCTGTCTGACCTGTGACCAGAAGGAGCTTTATTCTTAGCTCTGTGAGGATACTTCGTTATCTTGTCATATGAGAATAACTGCTCTGTGTCTGATTACAGCAGTGAGAGAACTGACTAAGAAAAGAGTGGATCAGTTGATCTTCCTGGCTGTGCTTTTTCTCTGAGGCATGAGCCTACTCTTAAAAGTGTGTAGATTAACACAGGCATTTTGAGGGATATATCTCTAGTTGCCACAACTGTACTTCCTACATGCTTAGTTCTGTGGGCATCATTCTTGTAATTTAGTGTTTGTTCTGAAAAGTATTTTACTGTGACTGTTATTTAATTTTATTTATTATAAAACAAGAAAAATGTCTACACCTTTTAAAAAGCAACCAAATAAATAGTGAACCAAAGCTTTCATTCAGTTTACAAATAAGTTCTTTTCCAATCTAACACAGAAGCTTTCTTAAAAGTCATGGTTCAGTTTATGTAATGCTGGTTGTGTGTTTAAAAACTTCACAGACAGAACATATTTCTTCAGTTAGGCTGCTATTTTAATTTTAGGAGCCAACACAGTTAAGGGAAAGCTTTCTACCTGAAGTCTGCCTACCTTGTTTGTTTCTTTCCTGTTTGGAAAAACAAAACCAAAAACCAAACAAAACCAGTACACCAAACACAAACACAAACCCCACAAATAAAACAAGAAACCAAAATGAACAAAAAAACACACCAGAGAAAAGGGAAGAAATAAACAATTGCTCCAAACACAAGTTTTGCATGAGAAATAGTAACTGATTTTCCTTCTGTTTCCATGGTTTTGCTCACAGAGGAGGAATTATTCAGTAATTTGTCCATATTTAATGAAACATGTGTGAAGTGGCAAAGGAAAACTGGAAGACTGGGAGTGCAGGAAACATACACTGTAAGTAGGGCAGTATTTGAGGTATTTGGGATTGGGAGTAAATTTCTCCTGATTAATTCTGTTGATTCAGCAGTAGCAATTTGTTTTGTGGATTTCATTTGTGTGGTAATTTGTCTTGATCTTCACAGTGAAACACCTAGAAACATAAAGGTGGTTGGCTGGGTTAGGAAAGAAAAAAATTTCTGTTCTAAACTTAGATAACAAACTCAAAAACTTGGGAGTCACATTCCAGTAAATCACGTAACACCTGCTTGAAACTAAGAAGTGTTTCAGTGTAAGTTTATGTCTTAGTGAAGTTTGCAGAGCTCAAGCTCACATTGCCACAGAAAACACTGCAAAACTTGGGCTCTGACCCTGTCTTTGATTCAAGCATTTCAAGTGAATAGTGTATTACTTGCAGATACTGGATGTAACTTCTTTTAGAAATGCTAGGTTTATTAAAATAGTGTGCCTTGCTCAAAAGGCTCAACCATTATTTGAATTTTTGGAACTGTTTTTCGTGTAAATTGAAAACTGCTGGTTGAATTAATTGGTAATTACTTTGTTGTTTGTTTTTGTTTTCATCCATAACCATAAGAATAAAAATTAAGATATAAATTCTCAGAAACAAAGCAAATAGTTCAGTCAGTGTTATCAAAAACCAAAACAACATGATAAGAATTCCCATCTGTTGAGAATAACATCCAAGAAATTTTTTTGTTTTTTTTTTTTGGGGGCGTATGTACAAATACGGGATAAAAGAAAAAGGGGGTTATTTAGGGTGTCTAGGGTAGGTAAATTAATGTGGAAAATAAGTTTCAAGATTGGGTGATAATTTTGGAAAACAAGCCATCTTTATGTATTTTTAATTTGCATACTTCTATTGAGCATTGCTGAGATGGAAAACACAGATTCCCAGTTCCTGTAACAGTTCAAAATTGGTTTTTTTGTACCCGGTCCTAAGTGGCAAGCTGTGGATCTCTGGTATAATGTGCTCTGTGCACATGCTTTTACCTGCATTCAGCTGTCTGCAAGATACTTCAGAATAGCCAAAACTGGGTGATGTGTAGACATAGGGTGCATGCAGTAAAATTCAGTACACACTTGGACTGCCTTAAGCTCAAGTAGTTAAGTTTTGTCTGTCCCTTCATATCATACAAACAACAGATTTCTTTTTCACTGTGCTGGGACAATCTTAGGGAACCTTGTCTTTTACTGTTGTCTGACTTGACCACTACTTCTGTATAGGGCAAGGATGTATAGGGCAAGGATGGAAAAAAGGAAAGAAAGTAGCAAGCAGAATTGGTTTCAATCTGTAAACAAGAAACACTATTTGCTTACACCTTACTATTTGTGTTGGAGGTATCTAGAGGGTCCACAATAGATTAGATTCCAGAATAGATTCCTTCTTTTGGTTGTAGAAATATATGAAAAAAACCCGAATAATTTTAGCAGCCTGTTTCTTTAATTGAACTGGTATTCCAAACCATATGTAATCCTATGTTCTCTTTGAGAACTGGTAGGATTAATTGAATTTGTGTTCTGAATTTTGGAGAGCCACAGCCAATGGCACTATTGTTTTTGTTAATCCTTCAATAGTTTCATATACTGGGCCGAAGATGGGATGAGAAGATGTTCGCAGAAGATGTGGTATTTAACATCAGTACAAGTGAAGATAATCCCAAGGTGTGTTTAGATCTGAATTCTGGCAGTTACTACGTGGTGAATATTACTACCATCTCTTCCGCAAACATCACTGTCTCAGTTACAGTAGCAGTTCAAACAAAGGGTAGGTTGTGTTTTGTATTCTGTGTACTTATAGAAGAACTTACTGTGCTGGAGGGTTCACTGATTTGAGTCTAGCAGACAGGATAATGGACTGTTCTTAGACTTAATCATTCTTTATGCTGACTACACACATGTAGCCACTGTTGGCATCTTCTTCTGCAAGATGTTTGTCTTTCTGCTCACTGTGGTCATTCAGTCTATGAGCAGGCAGAGTGGTGGCAGTAAATGCCCTTCAGAAAGACTGAGAAAACTTGCTTCTTTGGGATTTGCCTTCTGGCTGAGGCAGGATTGGTGCAGTGGCATTTCTGGCTACATGCCTAAATTTGAGTCCACTGTATAGTGCCTACTAGTTTCTGCTTCTTGCCTTCAAAAATTATTCTCTGCCTATGGGGTCTTGGATCTTTTATGTCGTTGTAACCTCCTACACCTGGACAAATAAATCATATCTTGGATTTACTGAATAATGTGCTTGGGTGTTTCCAAAAGCCATCTCATCTGGAAAATTATTATGCTTTATTTACTGTGCTTGTTAATTCAAAAAGAAATGAGATTCTACCTTTATCTCAGAAGAGAATGAAATAAAAAAAGGTTTTTTATTTTATTTTCAGCTCTTCATGTTCAATTAAGTTGAAGAAACTGAAGTTTTTATAATAAGTTTGATCCCTTTTTTTTTATTGTTTCTGCAGTAAAGGAAGCTTTCAATAATGTATTAATTTTTAATGGTACCTGCTTAAAATGGTGGAGAAATGTCAGGGGAGCTGATGTGGAAGACAGATACTCAGTAAGTGACAATCTATATTTTGAATCTAGGAAACAATTTTTGTCAGTCACCTACATAAAAAAAACCCTGTGATTTTTCAAACACTCACTGCTATCAGTGTTCCTCATTATAATAATGAGTCTCATAAAAACCCAGAGAATAAGCTTGCATGGCAGCCTTCAAAAAAGAAAGAAACCACCATGCTCTGTTGTACTCCCCTGTTCCTTGATGATTTTTTCTCATGTTCTAATTTTGTTTTCCTTTCTTTATCTGTTCTTTAAAGAGGAATCATTTGATCAGGAGAGGTCTTAAGTTGTTAACTTCATGATCATTTCAGTCGTCAACAACAAAACAGGCACACACAAAATCCTACTGAAACAAAAAAACCTCGTGGGTCTGTAAATTTGCCTGGAAACATAAGGGTCTGTGGACAGATTGTGGAGTGTAGTTGGCATTTTGACATGAGTCAAAATGTCTTGATTTTGTCTTGATCCTCAGGGTAAAACTAGAGAGGTGTTCATGTGAGCTTACTTTTGTAACTCACCATGAGAGTATACTACGATGAAAGTGAACTGTTAGTGGAAGCCTGTGTGTTAGCAGGAAATTGAGATTGGGGGAAATTACAGTAATAATAAAAAAGAGGGTAGACTAGGAGAACTGAAACATCTAGGATGATGTCAGATCTGATCAAGGACTACAATTCCTGACAAATTTTGGAAGCATTGGAAGCATAACTATGAGTGCCAACACTTTTGGCACTGTATCAGCAATGTGTTCTGCTAGTTCATCTAATGAAGAGTAAATGCATAGTAATATACTAAAACATTGCAATTTCCATGCTGTGATTGTTTGGTTACAGTTCCGTGTGCGAGGACAGCGTTGGTATCAGAAGGACTTCCTTCATGAAATGACCTTTAACCTTACCACACACAAGCAAGCTCCTGAAGTGTGTTTTGATTTGCAGCCAGGCACCAATTACTCTGTTAATATTTCCATGGTAGCTTTGAATTTTTCACGGCTCGTTTCTATGACAACACAAATTACAGGTAGGTCCTGCCATTTGTTTTCTGTCTTTACAAAAGCACCTAGGGGGTGCAAGCAGTTCAGGTGAATCGGCACTGTTGCTTTCAGTGTTGTATGGTGGGATGTCAAAGTACTCTTTCCATGCTTGAAGTTGTTTGTTGTTTGTTGTCACAGGTTTTGTAGGGTTGACAGTCCGGCAGAAGGGTGAGAGAAATGGGGATGCAGTGTGTTGAAATGTCATTTGGCACAGCAGGAGAAAGATAGTTTGGTGGGTTAGACACAAGCCTGGTATCTAGGCAAGCTCTGTTACATTCCTTCCCCTATTAGAAACCAAGTCCCTATTTCATTAAGAGTCCTCTTCACAGTGGAGATAATAGCACAGCTGCACTTTGTATGGGTATTTCTGACAACAGAGACCACTTAAGTCTGCAAGGTTTCAAAGTACAGAGGGTTGTTCAGGTACCTGAGACAGATACCTTTGCTTCTTATTGGCAGAGTATGAAACATAAAAGGCATTTGAGCAAATAAGGTTCTGTAGGGAGAGCCTCAGCTTCACAGTTTAGCAAGATATATGGCACTGCAATGCTGTGATAAGCAACATCTTGTAGCTCATTTTTTTGTTTAGAACAGTTTTGCACCATCCCTGTACTGTCAGACTTCCTGTATTAGGTTATTACTTCTACGCTGTGAAGTGCAGTGTTTGGTGCGGGCATCACTCTCCACAGACTGGAATAGGTTAAGAAACATGAAAGCTCGCTGAGTGTCTGTAGCTCTGTTCAGCCACTAGATGGAGTCAACTCTCTTCAGACTACCCAGGAAGAATTGGGAGTTTGTGGTGAGCTGAAATTGGTAGTATTACTGTCTTTTTAATGGTAAGTCTGACTTTTTAAGCTTCATGAAAGGTAAAGCATCTCTTGTTTCCTAAAGCTACTGTTTAAGGTATGCAATGACCAGGACGTTTTTTAAAATGAAATTGCAGTAATGATTTGACAATTCTTTTCCACAAGTTTCCTGGTTGTCACTCAGAACTAGTTCCATGAGTTCATGGGTACGTGTCTTTGTAAAATACTAATAAGCTGTTTCAGAATTTTGTTGACGGAGGTAATTTTTGAACACAGAGTAAAGGCATAGCTCTTTACTCTGTCATCCTGTGATACCTCCTAAATTCTTCAGGATTGCATCAGGTCACTTACTCAGCAGAGCTCTAGGGAACACTGCAGCAGGTGCTGTGCGAAGTGGTATTTGTGCCTTGGCAGCTGGTGTATTTTCCTCTCTGCTGAGTCAGTGCTTTACAAATGCACATGCATTGCCCTAGGAAAGGTGTTTGCATAAAAGGTCATTTCTATTTTGAAAGAAGGTTCTGCTTCACAAGACTTCTTATGTCTGGTAGTTACTTTTTTTCAATAAGCAATAAATAGTGCATGTTGCTCTGTCGTATTTGGAGTCTTCGTCCAAAACTTCCCATGCAAACACCCTGTATTATGCTTTATTTCAGTGGAAGCCAAAAAAATAAAACTGTGTCTTTTTGCAGTTGAAATTGAGTGAAGACTTAAAAAAACAACAGTGATCATGCTGCAGAACTTGCCAAATAATGAGAATTTAAACAAGATGTTAAATATGTTGCTATCTCATCCTATCTAAGAGGAAAAGATTGGAAGGAAAATAGGAGTAATTCCTGTAGCAGTGTTCCTTTGACTTCTGTGCCTTATGTGTTTGGAATTGCATTATCTATACAAGCAACTTAATTTATATAAAGGCTGTTTATAATTTTAGAGTAGTTCTTCATTTGTCCAGTTATTTTGTAATCATGTATGTTGTTAAACCAGACGATTTTGTTTCTATGGTGAATGGAATTATCTCAATTTATCTGTCACCTTCAGTCTGAAAAGTGATTTTTTTTTTGGCTCTGGTGGTTTTCTGGCTAAATGGTTCTGTAAAAATACAAGATACACCTTAATCACAGTGGCTCAAAGGAAGCTGTGACTTACAAAAGTGTTTTACTGCAAATGGAGATGGCCTCATTGGTTGTCTAAGGTTTCTTATTCCATCCTTTAACAAATGCTTGGTTAGGTCGTCTGTTTAACAGCTAGGGGTAAATCCAGAGGCTTGTGTCTCCTTGACTTCCTCACATCTCCTGCATTTTGAGAGTCTGGGAAACCTTAACTGTGGAGTTTCAACCAGTGTGAAGAGACATGTTTCAGACAATTGGGTGATCACTGCCTTACAGACTTGGTTCTTGACAAAGGTAGTAATCTCTGTAAATTCTTAGACTGTTGCACAATGCAGTTTGCATGCAAATGCTAGCAATAAGTTTGGTTATTTTTTCCAAAAAGTAAGATTTTAAAATGTGTGTTAGGAAAGCTACTTCTATATTCAGAGTTTCTATATCTCCTGAATGAGGATATATCCATAGTATTTCTAAAGCAAAAAAAAAGGAAGAACTTGGGACTTAGAAACCTGTTTTTCCCCTGGCAAGTAGCATCCTCTAAAAAATAGACAGAAAATTTACTGTACACTAGAAATACATCTTTTGTGTCTGAATTACTGAATACATTTTATTCTTGTAAAATAATTCATATTTGATTCAATTACAGTTTCTCACTGATCTTCCTCCTCTCAATTTTCAGCTTAGAATCAAGGAGTATTTTGGGTCTGTTCAATGCATACTGTTCACACATGCTGCAATTTCTTGCATATTTGTACATGTATTTTCCAGTGGGTTTGAGTAGGTTTGACCTCCAAGTCTGTGTACCTCAAATATTTGTAGTACTTCCCAGGTTTCTCAGCTGCTATTCTTTTTGGTTTAGTCCAGGATGTACCTGCAGGCCACGCACTCTTGTGTGTATCAGTATCATCTCTCTCTTCATGTGAATACATTAAGTCAGAAAGTCAACTCGCAGAGAGCCTAGAAAGTGACTTGGATTAGAAGAATGCATTCCATCACATCTTAAGTATAATCTTCTAGAGCCCTGCTCTTCTGTCTCAGTGTGTGGAGAATGTACGTTACATATCAAGTTGTGGTGTGTTGTTCACTTGCCCATAGGTGTACACACACACATGGATGTACAGGCTTTCCTCATAGGCGAGGTGTTCCATCCCTCTAATTATTTTTGTGGCCCTCCTCTGAACCTTCTCCAACAGGCCCACTTCTTTCCTGCGCTGAGGAGCCCAGAACTGGACACAGCAGTCCAGGTAGGGTCTCATAAGAGTGGACTAAAGGGGGAAAATTCCCTCCTTTGCTTTGCTGGCCATGCTGCTTTTGGCACAGCCCAGGACACAGTTGGCTTTCTGGGCTGCAAGTGCACATTGCCAACTCATATTGAACTTCTCATCCACGAGCATTTCCAAGTCCTTCTTCTTGGGACTGCTATCAATCTGTTCTCCGCCCAGGCTGTATTTGTGCTTGGCATTGCCCTGACCCAGGTGCAGCACCTTGCACTTGGCCTTGTTGAACCTCATAAGGTTCCTGTGAGCCCAGTTCTTGCTTGTCCAAGTCTGTCTGGATGGTGTCCCATCTCTCAGGCATGTCAACTGCAGCACTCAACTTGGTGTCATATAGCTGATAAATTGTATCCCAGTATTTTACTAAAGCTAAGTTGCTTACACTTGCACTTTCTGTTTGGCTAGCCTGCTGATAGTGCTGCCTAGCATTGTTTTTAATGTTCCCTGTGTTATATATCAAGACTACTTAAAGCAAATAATAGTAACAACAATAATGCATCTATAAAATGTGTGCGCCTCATTTCTTGTGGGGAAGCAGGAAAACACTTTACACTGCTTTTTTCTAAACACTGATATTCACTCAGGAAGCTTTGAATTTTCTTGTTTCTCAGCCCAGAGGAGCAGAGATGGGATTTGAGTCCCCAGCAGGAAAGAAACAAACCAGCTGGGCAATTACTGCAGCTCCCACATCAGTAGGTCTTAGCAGCCTGCTCGCATTTGTGTCCAGCTTACTGCCAGGTGTGCTCCTTGCTGAGTTCTCCCTGGCCAAATTTTCCTCCTCTCCCATGGACAGGTACTGTGTCAGTGCCTTCCTCTTGGTGCATAGGAACATCTGCCAGTCCGTTGTGCCACATGTGCAGTCTGGGCAGCTCTAGGTGGTGCAAAGGCTCCTGTGTTGGCCGAGGTCAGGGTGGAAGGTAGTGTTGAAGAGCAGGGAGCACAGGCAGGGCGTGTAAGAAGCAGCTGCCATAGCAAGCCTGGGTGCTTACCCTGCATCTCCATCTCAGTGCTGGACCTTCTGCCTCCCCAGGTAAGATCTTAACAGCAGTTTAGGATGTAGGTGGGAGCAGTGGGGGCTGTTTGCAGGATCCCAGCACAGACCTCTTTTGCTGAGGTTAGGACACTGTCACACCAGGTCTGTGCTTCTGGAAATACCAAGCATGCCCCTAACCCAAACACCCTGATGAAACAGCACCCAGCTGCCATTCTGCTGCCAGACCCTGAACCACCTGTGTCTGCAGAGCAGGAGTGAACACTCAAGTGTTTTGAATGTCGTGTTTTGTATGTTAGACTTTTGTCTAACAAAAGATCCCAAGGGAGAGGTGCCACAGGAAGAACCAGAGATGGCAGATGACAGGCCATAGAAAGGTTCAGGTAGAGGTGGGCCAGGAGATAGGGATCAGACTGGCTCACCTAAACACATGGCAGCAGAGTAAGACAGCCATAACACAACCTAGAATTAGTCCATACAAGAAGCAATGAGATATAGGAAAGGTTGCTTTTAAAGGCAGAGTCTGTGGCCCAGAGGTGCTCTGCAGCTTGAATCAGGGTCCCTTGCAGGCCCTCGCTCTGACACAGAACACCAATGGGGCACAAGCTAACTCCGTGTCTGTTGTGTGGCTGTGAATTACACTCATTTGTGGCCGTGGTGGCAGCTCACTTGCCTCTCCCAAACAGGGAGAGGTCCCAGTCAAGGTCCTCTAAGCCACATCTCCCTGTTTTCATTTTCTTTCCTTGCCTGGGACCATTTTAGTTCAAAGACATCCTGTTGCAGAGAGGATTTTGGCTAAGAGGAAGGACTTTTTGTGCGTCAGAGTTCAGTCTCTCACAGCACAGGAGCCAAACCCACAGGAGGCCAAGCACACTGCTGTACGCAGAGCTGTGCCAGGCTGGTGGCATGGCACCAGGCACTAGTTCCATTTTTACTGTCTGCCTCA